ATAACTGTCACTTAGTAGCAATGGGTTCCAGCCTCTAACCAGGAAAATACAAGAGGTGCTCTATTTACCATTGTCTCTTATAGCTAATAGTACTCCATGGTATACATATACCACATTTTATTTATTACTTTATTTTTATTTTTTTGAGACAGAGTCTCACTGTGTTGCCTGGGCTACAGTGCCGTGGAGTCAGCCTAGCTTATAGCACCTCAAATCCTCCGGCTTAAGCAATCCTCTTGCCTCGGCCTCCCGAGTAGCTGGGACTACAGGCATGTGCCACCATGCCCAGCTAATTTTCTATATATTTTAAGTTTGCCAGATAATTTCTTTCTATTTTTTTAGTAGAGACGGGTCTCGCCTTGTCCAGGGGCTGGTCCGCAATCCTGAGCTCAAACGATCCATCTGCCTTGGCCTCCCGAGCTGCAGTAGGATTACAGGCGCGAGCCATCATGCGCTGCCGTACCACATTTTATTAATCCACTTGTGTATTGATGGGCACTGTTGAAGACCCTAACTTCTTTTTGGCTGACTAGGGATTCGCACAAGCAGGAAATGAGAAGAAGAAGGAGAGTTGTAAACAGCCCAACTGCATATTGAAGGCACCTCCCAAGAAGCACACACAGCCCCTTGCCAAGATCGAGGGATTTATAGATTCCAGAAATTTAAGGAACTCTTTGTCAATCACTAGTTGACACTAAACTACCTGAACTGAGAAGTCATTGGCCACACATGACAAAGAATACAGACTTACAGAATTGTTTAGAAAAGTCACTAAACAAAACAACAGCAATCACTGCAACAAAGACAAAAAGTATATGATTTCCAGTATTGTGACCTTATAATAAGTAAAATTCCAGTTTCTAACAAAAATTATTAAAAACACAAAGAAACAAGAAAGTATGACGATATACAGGAAAAAAACCCCAACTATCAATAGCAACTGTTCCTGACTGTCGCTGAGGAAGCCTAGTTGTTGTTGGACTTATCAGAAAAAGTCTTTAAATCTGCTGTTTAAAATATGTTCAAAGAAATAGAGGAATCCATGTCTAAAGAACTAAAGGAAAGTATGAAAACAATGTCTCACAAAATAGAGAGTACCAATAAACAGATATACATTATATAAAAAATACCACATAAAGATATCAGGGTAAGTTCTGGCATTCATTGCACAGTAGGATGACTATGGTTAACAGTAGGGTATTGTGTATTACAAAATAGTCAGAGGAGAGGCTTTTGAATGTTCTTACCACAAAGAAATGATAAATGCATGAGGTGATGAATATGCTAACTATCCTAATTTGATCTTATACAACATAGGCATGTATCAAAATATCAAATTTTACCCTGTAAGTATGTATAATTACAGTGTGTTGATTAAAAAATTAAAAAGTAACTACCTAGAAATTCTAGGGTTGAAAATTATAATAAATAAAATGAAAATATTACTATAGGGCTCAAAAGGAGATTTGAACATGCAGAAAAATATATCAGAGACCTTGAAGATGGGTCAATTGAGATTACACAGTCTGAAGAACAGAGGGGAAAAAAAGGATGATGAAAAATAAACAGAGCATCAGAGACCTATGGCATTATCAACATACTGACAAATATGTAAAGGGATTCCCAGAAGAAGAGAAGACAAAGAAAGAGGCAGGAAGAATATCTGAAGAAATAACGGTTACATATTTCTCAAATTTGATGATAAACATTAATCATCACATGTAAGAAACTCAATGAGCTTTAAGTAGGATAAATTCAAAGAGACAACTAGACACATTATAATCAAACTATCAAAAGTCAAAGACATCGAAACCAGCCTGAGCAAGAGCGAGACCCCGTCTCTACTATAAATAGAAAGAAATTAATTGGCCAACTAATAGATATAGAAAAAATTAGCCGGGCATGGTGGCGCATGCCTGTAGTCCCAGCTACTTGGGAGGCTGAGGCAGAAGGATTGCTTGAGCCCAGGAGATTGAGGTTGCTGTGAGCTAGGAAGACGCCACGGCACTCACTCTAGCCTGGGCAACAAAGCGAGACTCTGTCTCAAAACAAAACAAAACAAAACAAACAAACAAACAAACAAAAAAAAGTCAAAGACAAAGAGAAAATCTTGAAGACAGCAATAGAGAGGTGACTTATCATGTACAACAGAACTTGAACAAGAATAGCGGCTGTTTTCTTATTAGAAACCATACAAGTGAGAAGTCAGTAGGTTGATATACTGATTAAAGTGCTAAGAAAAGAAGATGGTGAGTCCCAAATTCTTTATTTGGAAAAATTATTTTTGAAAAATGAAGGAGAAATTAAGACATTCCCACATAAACAAAAACTGAAATAATTCATTGCTGGCAGATCTACCGCACAGGAATCACTAAAGGGAGTATTTCAGGCTGAAATGAAAGGAGAGTAAAAGTTATTCATATTTACACAAAGAAATATAAAGAACGCCTATAAAGGTCACTACATAGATAAATATAAAAGACAGTACAAATGCAGCTTTTATATGTAGTTTTTTTCACCCATCTGATTTAAAAGATAATTGTATAAAGCAATAATTACAAATTTGGGTTGATGGGTACACAATCCACAAAGATATAACTTGTCTGGCAACAACAGCACAAAGGAAGGGGGAGAGAACAGAGCTACATAAGAGCAAAGTTTCATATGCTATTTAAATTGAGTTGGATTAATCTGAACTGGGTTGTTATAAACTAAGGTGTAAATTGTAATTCCCAGGACAACCACTAAGAGAGATAAGAAGATAATATTTAAAATACAGTAAAAGAAATGATAAGAGTATTAAAATAGTATACTAAAACATATCTATTTAATACAAAAGAATAAAGTAATGGAGGAATAGAGAAACAAAAAAAGATATAAGACATATAGAAAACAAATAGCAAAATGGTAAATGTAAATGCTATGTTAAAAACAATTGCATTAACGTGTGGGGGATGGACATGCTTGAGGCTCTTACTCGAGCGGGGAGGGGGCATGGGCAATATAAGTAACCTTGACACTTGTACCCCCATAATACGCTAAAATAAAAAAAAAGAAACAATTGCATTAAATATGAATGGATTAAACAGTCCAATCAAAAGGCAGAGATTGGCAGAAAGGATTAAAAAACAAACATGATCCAACTCTATGCTGTCTACAGGAAACACACTTTAGATTCAAAGATACAAAAAGGTAAACGCTGAAAAAAGATATAACATGTGAACCATAACCAAGAGAGCTGGAGTGGTTATACAAATACCAGACAAAATATTCATAGAATTAATACAAAAATTGTTACTAGTCACAAATAACAGCATTTGACAATAAAAGGGTCAACGCATTAAGAAGATAGAGCAATTATAAACATGTTTGCATCTAACAATGGGACGTGAAAATACATGAAGCAAAAATTGACAAAATTGAAGGGAGAAATAGATAGTTCAATTATACTTGGAGACAGCACTACTACACTTTCAATAAGGATTAAAACAACTAGACGGAAGACCAGCAAGAAAACA